CAGTGGACACAGTGGCAGTGCTACAATGACACCATGCCCACAGCCTCCCCACCTAGAGACCCTGTGTCTGATGCTTCATTGGAGTCACAAGCTATGGGTCCTCAGAGCCTGAGGCTCTGCTCCTAGCATCCCAGGCCTGGGTAGGGAGCACCCATGATGGACCCAGGACGTGGACAGCACAATGACCCACTACCCCACTGAGGGCACAAGGCTGAGTACCACCCCCCTTTCCTCTCAGAGGCCAGCTTAGGGGCCACTGAGGCTGTATGGGATTCTCCCGTCTACCTCAGAGGGCAGTATCTCACCCATATCGTTCCATATACTGGAGCAACTGGGAATGGGCCTGGCAGAGCTGGGGAGACAACACCAAGAATGACCAGTGTGAATGCAGACCAGGCTCTGGGCAAGCAGGTGAGGACTGCAAGTGAAATCTATGCCTAGAAGATGCCAGCCCCAGACACACAAGAGGCAATCCAAGTGAGGAAAGGGGGCAAAGGAGATGGGTTTTAAAGGGTCTTAGTCTGGTAGGAGCTGAGGGGAAGGAAGAAAAGGGAAGTTCTGCTCAAGATGTGTCCACTTTGAGTCAGGGAGGAGTATCTCCCTGCTAGTTTGTACTAGGTTGAGGAAAAGACCTGGAGTCTCCAGGAGTGATGGTTCAAGGTCACCATCGCATCCTGGTCAGCAGAGGTGGTAGGATGTCATGGGGGTTTCACGATTAGAGAAACTAGTGGTCACATCCCAGCTCCACATCATGAGCTGTATGACCTTAGGCACTCTGCTTAAGGGACATTGCTTAACTATCGCTGACTTCCTAATACAAAAGAGGAATACCACTCCTATGGCACATACCTAGTGTAGTGCAGGGCACACCGAAAGACATTTTAAGAGTGACTTGCGGAGGTCTTGAGCATTCCTCAGTTAAATACCCTCAAAGCCACAACAATAATAATAAGGTCATCCCTGTGAGGACTCCTGCTTCTCTCATGTCATCACCCCAGGTTATAAGAGCAGTGTCCTATGCTGGGGGACTCAGGATGACAAGGGCACATGCAGGACAGGCAGACTTTGTTAATGCTGGGTCCCCAGAGCTCTGAGATTGCTAGAAAACCCCAGTCAGCTTCTAACAAGTCCCCACCTAACTCAGCTTGACACCCTCTCCCAAGCCCCATATCCGGAGGAGTTCCAAGCCTAGGTGTTTGGAGAATGATCCATGTCCCTTTGCCCTATTTCAGTCTTTGAACTGGGAGGAGAAGCAAACTGACCTGGGAGCCGCTGACCTCCACACTGTGGATGCCTGTGATGGCGTCGATCAGGTTGTGTGCCTCGTCGATGATCACCACCTGGCCCTGCAGCTGGATGCCCGCTGCCTCTCGGGTAGCTGCATGCAGCAGCATCTGATAGGGCAGCACCACGAGCTGACAGGAGAAATGTGGCTGCCTAAGCAAGGCAGGAGTCCACCTACACAGAAGAGTTCTCTGACTGGCTCCTGGATGAACTCTTCTGTTTCCCACCTCCTCCACGTGTGGGGATACCATATGGGCAGCAACAGACCCTTTCCTCAAAAGTTCTATGTACAAGGTCAAGCGTACAAAACCCGTCAACTGGGGCTGAGCTGACTCCTGACTGAACCAAGAGCAGGAGTGGGGGAGACTGGATCCCCCACTGCTTCACCTCCTTTGTGCAGTTAGCTCTGGAAACCCCCAAGCTTCCAAAACTGTCAAGCCTCTGGTGCACCAGAAAGCAGCCTTGGAATTGCTACTTCCCAGCTGTGTAGCTGTGGAAAGTTCTAACCTCTCTCAGCTTTCTCATCTGCAAAATGGGCCTGAAACACTTTATCCTATGTGAGGGATAAAGAGGTAGGGGTAAGAAAAATACAAGCATCCTTAAGTTTTTAAGTATATGTTGTTATGAAGATTTTCTAATTAAAAGGAAGCAGATATACAAAATGAAAATCCAGAAAACTGGAAACATAGGGCCCAGGTTCTAATACTGGTTCCAACCTCCACTTACACTGAGAAAACACATGGACCACATAAATCTTTCTAGGACCCAGAGTCCCCATGAGTAGAATGCAGCCATTTCACTGGAATACCAGAAAGGCAAAATGAGGCGAAACCGCTTTAAAAATTCATGGTCATAACAAGTTCAGCCCATTCTATGACATTTGTACATAAATGGCTCCAACACTGGTCTTGCTCTGAAACAGTCCAGAGGGAGGACACGAAATGACACTGGGGAACAGGTGCTCCTCTGACTCTGTGGGTGCCTGTGCTCGGTTATGATGGTACACTGGGGAGCACATAGCTGCAGTGGAAAATGTTTACTAACACAGTTCCTTGTATCTTTAAAAACTTACTTCTATCTTTTCCAGATTACATGGAATACTCCACAAGTCATATTGTTTCCAAAGCCCACTTGAGTTAAGGAAATAGCAGGAAAAGAGTTAAATCATACCCACCAAGCAACAGTAAGACACCACTTCTGACCTACCAAATTAGTAGTTTTTCCTAAAACTGCTTAAAGATGTGGCAGGTCTAATAAGACAGTATTCTTATGTGTGCGGACAAGTGTAGAAACTGAAAAGCCATCTGGAAATGCAGCCATGTTCCACAGCACCCTTGCTGCCTTCCTCTCCACTCCTGGCAGCCTCTCACTGTGGTTTCACAAGAAATGCACTCTGTCCTGACTCCTATCTGCTGTTCCCCAGTAACACCAATTTGCCTGCAGCCCATACCAAGGGATCCACAGGCCTCCTCTGACCCACGTACTAGGGTGAATGGGGGAGGGGGGGAGGGTGCCATCAGCAGCAGTGCAGCTGGCAGTCTAACCACGGCGTATGGCTTCCTCCCAGACTACAGGAGTAAGGAGGCATCCCCACAGCCTAGGCGACAGAGCCATGATCTGTTTCCCATCCTCCAGAGTCCTCACCTGAGCTGCAGGAATGGCAAACCGGCTCCCATAATAGGGACAGGCCCAGGCCTCCTTCCCAAGGGCCACCAGCTGCTCAATGTCCTTCACTTCCGCCAGGACCTCATCCCGCAGGAGGTGCATGTGCTCGTAGCTGTAGAAGGGACAGGCAGCCTGCTTCTCCTGCCTCCTCCTCTTTGGTTTCTCCTCCTCAGCTTCATTCCTCTTCTCTGAAGGTGGCATGGGCACAAGGGGAGCACAGACAGACAGGACAATAGCTGTCCATGGGGCCAAGAGTGGGTCTGTCATTTCCAGGGGGTGGGGCCCTCTGAGGACTGCTCACGTGGCCACCAGAACACTCTGGGATTTAACTCTATGTTCTCCATAAAGAGCATATACAATCGCCTCCAAGCCAGGGATGTAAACTGCACACTGAGCCAGAAAGCAGGAACTCGCTCCCCCCAGGACAGCATCTGCTCTGCCATTCCTCACATTAAAAACAACTATGGGCTTTATTTCCCATGTCCCTAGCCCAACCTGCCCCAGTTCTTTGATCACTTCCAGCCCTGCCCCACGCTCCCCAGGCCCACACAGTTGCGCCAGAGTCTGAGTGACTACCATGCTTGCTTCTCTGCATGTCCATACAGCGGTCATTAATGAGCTGCACAGAACCTAGGCGCTTCACATCTTGGTTTACACAAAGGTTCTACAAGATAAGAAGAAAAAAAGAGGCAAAGAGACGGCGCTAGCCAAATGATATACAAGCAACCCACATAGACCCACCCAGACCAGCCCGCCTCTTCTTTTCCTTCCAACAACCCACCAGCCAAGCCAGGGAAGAGGTTAAGCTGCTGCCTCATACCCAGCACCTGGACAAGAAAAAGGCACAGGAGGGCACTGGCCCCATATACTGAGGGTGGCGGATTTGAACCCGACCCCAGCCAAACTGCAACAAAAAAAAACAGCCGGGCATTGTGGCAGGCCCCTGTAATCCCAGCTACTCTAGAGGCTAAGGCAGGAGAATTGCCTAAGCCCAAGAGCTGGAGGTTACAGTAATGCCATGACACTCTACGAAGGGTGACAAAGTAAGACTCTGTCTCTAGGAAAAAAAAAAAAAGAAAAAAAGAAAAAAAGAAAACGCACAGGAAGGTGAGCAGGATGGCACATGGGCTGAGACACCTTGCCACTGTTTACCTGCCGGGAGCCGAGGGAGACGAGCCGGACGTCCTTGCCAAAGGGGCTCTTCTGTACTTCGTGCACAAACTGGGCTAGCTGGGAGTGTGTCCGACTGCAGTAATAAATCTGCCCAGGGAAAAAGAAAGGCATTTCAAAGAGGGGACTCTGATGTGCCTACACACGAAGGCACACCATCGCCTAAGAGGTGGAAGGCTACAAATGTACACCCAAGGCAGGATGACTATACCAGGTCAGGTCTCATCTAACAAGGATCCAGGGACCCTCAAGTCTCCTGCAGCTCCAGAAGTTCCAGGTAATACCCACAAGAGGTAACTCTTTCCGTCAGTCATACTCACCTTCTAATCTGACCACTTTGGAAGGTCTGGCAACTTTCAAAAAGTGTATTTTCCCTGTGTAGAGATTCTTAACATGGCAAAGATTCCCACTCTGGGGAATGTGCAGGGGGGTGGGGACTGGGGGTGTTTTATATACATCCCCAAGATGAAAGGAGTAAACTGAGCTGGATACTCTGTCTCTACTGCACTAAGACTTGCAAAAGGGAAAAAGAAGGGAAAAATACCTACTTTTAATAGAAAACTAAAGTCTTAAATAAATGAAACCAAATATGTGTAAATTTGAAAAGGGTCAGACCACACACACCCATTTGCACAGCACTCCATGCAAACAGAAACACAGAGAAGAAACACACCAAGAGAGAATGGAGGGGGGGCACTTCTGCCTGTCCTCCCCACACCTCCCACCACTACCACCCTGTGGAGGTAGGAACCACCCCAGAGCTCAGCCCACAGTGGCTGCTCCTCAGTGTGCTGGGGCTACAAGCCCAGGCTTCACTCCCAGGGCCCAGCCAGCCAGGTGAGCAACGAGGGGCCAGGCTACATCTGGAAGGCCACAGAGCCCACGTACTGGACACTCCTCCTTTGTTAACAGGAGGGTGAGCAATAGCCGAGTGACTCTGGCACTCTCCCTAGGGTGGGACATGGGCCCAGACAGAGTAACACCTGAGCACATGGGTCTTACCTTAGTCACATGTTCTTCTTCTAGGTCATCTTCATCCTCATCCACTCTACACACGAGAGAACAGAGAGAACAGTCTTCCCTCAGCACACTCAGGTCAGCTGCACTTCACCTACTGAGCCCTACAACCAGCCCTGGATATCTGATGACCCTGAGTCAGATGGAGAAATCTGTGCTTCATTCACCTTTGCTGCAGCACCTGGGCCTTGAGCCCACATCACACCTGTCCTCACTTCTGTCCACTGCACTGGCAGGCCCCTGTCTGCAACTGTCTCCCAGGTCTTCCCCTGGCTCCTGCTTGCCCTGCAGGACTTGGCTCATTGTCAGCTCCTGAGAAGGCCTTCCCTGACCTCTCCCCCAGATGGACAGCCCCACACCCTATCCACTGTACCCTTTTTCTTTTTTTTTTTTTTTTTTGAAACAGAGCCTCAAGCTGTCACCGTGGGTAG